AGACTTCTCCAGACGGGTAGGTGGTTTTACTTTTGACATGAATAGAGTAGATATTGACAACCGCTGGGTACTTCCATAATCCAGTTCTTTTGAGAACATTTAACGCGTGTAAGGTTTTATAAATTCTAAAATAAATTATGTTAAAAGGAAATAGATTTCAGCTATTAATTTTCTTATAAAAAGTAACAAATATAATTAGCCAATTCCATACTCTAACTATTATCTTAAAATGTCCAAGGAACTCAACCATAGTAGTCAAATGTGAGTTTTTTAACTCTTACTTCATAACTTTGTAATTAATTTAATAAAATTAGTTGTTGAAATAACAATTATAATTAGTCTTATAAATTATAATTAATTTTAAGCTAAACTATATTTTGATCAGTTCGCAATTTTGATGCAATAAAATAACAATAATAATATGATTGTATCTCTTTTCCCGCGTGGCGCGTTTTGGTGCCAATGCGCACGCGCGCCATACGGGCAGAGAGTATAAAACGGAGTGCATTTGGCTGGTCGGTACTGCATTATCCCCCTCTCAGGGGATAATCGCTTCAGATGAAGCTTGTAAGGCCCTTCAGGCCATAAGCATAATCTACGGGTGTGTTTTAGTCAATAGGAGTCTGACATAACCTTGCAGCCGGCTGTAAGGTATCCATGAGGATTTCACACCCGCTCCCCCGCATGGGAGGAATCAAAAAAAAAAAAGCTGGTCGGTGTCGCGTCCCCGGCGTGGTACGTGCAGGCGCTGGTCGCCGAATCTCAGCGGAAACGCCTCCGAGCCCAGCAGAACGTCACCCTACGACTCATCGCCAACGCCGGACGCTACGTCAGGAACACAACTCGGCAGCGCGACCTAAAAACTTAAGCCCTGGACGAGTTCGTCAGCAAACTCGCCATCAAAATGTTCGGCCGAGCGGACCACTCAACGCCCGCGTACGTCCGCTCCCAAACCCGCCGCGACTGACCGCTCCCCAGGGAGCTCCTGCCTCCACAAGAAGAGACGCCCTCGAGTTCCCCCGCTCGTGATCCCCGCAAGCGGTCGAGCCACCACCCCGGGACTGACACCGGCCCCGCTCGCACCCGCGGGCGGACCTAACCAACTGATGCACAACCCACAACTGAATTGACACCCCTCGGACATGATATCTCCAGGACTACCTAGTCTAACTAACAAACTCACGATAAGTCAACCGCCCGCTCGCAGGTCACTCACTGGGCCTCCCCCATGGGTCTCACCCGGTGGGCTTGACCGCGCCGAGGGCGTTGTGTGAAGCCGTAGAGAGGGGGGGAACGGACCCCATCGACCACTCTGTTCGAGACAGAGTGCGACCCCGCTACCTCCGTAGTGAAAATTTTCAACATCGGATTCCCCGCCCGCCGCGGCACCTTCGGCGCCTGCGACGCGCGAGAAGAAGAACTGCAAGTGGTCGGTGTCTCTTCGCATCGAAGCTGTAACACTCCTATTAGAGTTACAATGATTTAATTAACTTAAGTATGTAGGTAGACACTTAGACAGTAAAAGACAAGGTGTGGGTAAGTATATACACGAGACGATGCGTGCAACAAAGTCTGCTCCACAATCACTGCCCTGAGGTTGTCGGATGCGCCAGCAGGATTGCAGCAGCCCTTACAGCGCAGGCAGCAGGTAGGTAGGCAGGTAGACCCAGGTAGTGTGGGTAGGTTGCCCGGTAGCCGTCACCTCTCGGTAGATGAGATTCCCCGATTAATAGGTACCGGTACGGTGAACCCCAATCCTTGGGGAACACTATAACTGTATTTATTACCACGTATAAAATCGTTAATATAATATGCAAAACTAATTTCGATTGTATGGAACAGAATTGAAGAACTAATAAAACGAGCCTGTCTTCATAGGTGACGAAATCCCAGTCTCTCAGCCGCCGCTCGGTCGTCCTCACGTATAAAATTTATCTTCGATATACCCGCGACCATCGCCTTTATCATAGGAGTTTCATAACAAGTGATAGCTCCCGGGTTTGCCTTGGAGTGATATTTTTTTTACGTAATTATTTTTGAATATGGAATTTTATTGGCTTACGAATATATTTAATTAATAGTGATGAAATATAGTTATAGTAAATTGTTTTGTTAATTGTATGTTTTTTTTGACGTGACAACGTCTTAAATTAGGTTGCGGCTGGGAGTCACTTATGAAAAAGTGTAACGCTCGGTAACGTTACGATGAGTCTCTCGTGTTAAGTTTAAGTTTACATGTACAATGTTTTAGTAAACAAAATATATTTCTATAGTTAAAATTTGTGCAATTCTTATTTTCATTCAATTCCTTGTTCCTATTGTGCAATTTAATTATATTCATATCAATAAATATTCTACCGAGAAAAAGACGTTGTCACGTAAAATCTTCGCCCGTAAAACCGACTTTACAGGCAACCATTTTTTTTTGTTAAGTTTTAGGCCATTACGTTACAAAGCGTCGCGGGTATACCTAACACCTCAGTGAATGTTGTTTAAGATTGAATAATAAAAGAAAAAGTGTAAAGAAACGTTATTATTTCGGCGGAGCCCTACACGCGCACATAAACGTCCAATTCAGTCACTCTGTTAAATCAATGAAATAGGTTTGCAAATAAGTACGTAATTATAGGATCCGACTAGGCCACTTTAGCTTTAGAAAACGAAATAGATGAAGTAAAGATTTTCAAAAGTGGGAGGTGCATAAGTAGTTCAGAGGCAGTATGGATTTCCGATTCATAAACGCTTCCCCACCGTGTTTCATCTTGCGGTTCATCTGGAAAATGGTCAAGGAGTATTCAGCAAAACCTCGCAGATAAACTAACAAACACTTTTTGCCTTCTTTAAGTTGTCTCGTACTGATGTTTTGCAAAAACTCTTTTAAATTACCAAATACCAGCATAATATGTTTGGACTAATTCACGATTCCAAAGGTGGAAATGTGGAGTGAAAGAAGATGGATGGCCTGATTAATAGAGTGGTTATGCGAAAGAGCTATACTTACCCCAAAAAAACGACCAAGCAGCGGTCATTAATGACATACTACTGAATTCTTTTGAAGGACAACTGATTATTTATAACTCAATAGATACTGTGGTAAACACTGACAATGCCATTAAATTATCCAAAAGAGTTCATTAACCACTTTGAACCCACAGGGTCTACCATACCACAGACTATTACCGCGTGGTGGTTGTTATGTTATTAAGAAATTTAAAGCCACCCAAACTTTGCAACGGCACTAGGTTGCAAGTCAAAGCACCGGAACGTAGGACGAAACCACAATCTCTCCTTTGAATTCAAAAGGCTCCAGTTTCCCCTGAGGGTATGTTTCGCCATGACCATAAATAAGTCGCATGGGCAAACTCTCGAATTATATATAGTTATAATATAATTGCAATGATGCACCGTATAACTAAGCATTTGTATTTTTCTAAATTCGAAATGTATGCTAAATAAATCAAAACGATCGTCGCACACATGATCGCTGAGCTTATGTAGACATTTATATTTTTCATTTCATTCAATCCCTTTGATCAGATACTATTTGCAATGTTGGTTAAAATACCAAAAAAAATATAGCTACTCGTAGACAAGACTCGCATTTAATAACATTACTTTATTTTTGCGATATAAAATTGACTTTCACTTCACTATTGTAATGTGTCAAAACCGCTATCATCATAACGTCATTGCAAAATATGGCCACAGTTTTCGGGTGTCAGGGCATATCTAACGATTTAAATCTTTGACTTGAACAATAAACTTCATTCCCTATCTATTCTCTGCTTTCAATCAACCCTAATACTTGTTTAGAGCTTATGAGGTAGGCACCTATTTTATTTGATAGAAATACACTGACCTGGGTAAACCCACAAATCTTTTAATTAGGTCGCCATAATTTAACCAAGGTTTAGAACAAGTTCCCATGAACGTGTTAAGTGGAACATGGGTGAGACAAAGTAGGCTTGTTGAAAATATATCGATGTATCGATATATCGATATTTTTTGTCTGATATATCGATATTTTTTGCCGATATATTTTGATTCGATATATCGATACATCGATACAAAATAACCAATATCGAAATTTGTATCAAAAACGATATTTTTTTAATTATTAGCGGCATATCACGATCTAACTAAATTCGAATCGGGAAAAATCGTAACTGGATCTCAGATTAATGATATTCAACATGTCTATGATCTGTGCTGTATTTAGTATTGTCTATGTCATCATTCGAAAATAGGGTCTATTTTTAGGGAGATAATTTTCGTTCCATTATTATTCCGCGTGTCATATTTCGCGAGCTATTACGATATTTAGTACGATATTTTTGGGAAAATTGGTCCGATATATCGATGTTTTTTTCGCGATATATCGAAGCCGATATTGATATTTTTTAAAAGACCGATGTATCGATATATCGATATTTTTTTCAACTTTCGACATCCCTAAGACAAAGAGAGTATAAACGAATATGAAACTGACTACTCACTTCACTTGTTAACGGAGGGACAAGAAAATGAGTCCTAATAAAATTAAGGCTTAAGTTATGGGATAGGTTAGTACCTATCCCAGTACCCAGTAGTACTGGGATAACGGATTTATACAGGCGTCCACGGGTTTGTCACACGAAGGGAAGTATATTAAATAATGAAGATAGGATATTTTACTGAAAGAAGACATCCTTTTATTTTGAATAATAACTTGATCTGCTTTCACAGATTTTTTTGAAGCGCCTGCTCCACCTTCAATATTTAATATACTTTCCCTCCGTGTGACAAACCCATGGGACGCTCTGTATACACGGCTGATATGCCTATATTTTATAGAAACATATTTTTATAATAAAATCAAACAGCGGCTGTACGACTTCTACGTGCTTTCCCTTCCTTATTACAAAATTAAAAAATAATACTGATTTTCTATTGGTGAATAATGCTGAGGAGAATTATTTACACCAATAGAAAAGCAAATATGTCTTCAACCTTTGCTGCCATATTCCACCACTTGTGCTGTCAAATAAAATGTCAAATTTATAGAAACAAGTTTACGTACCGCAAAAAATCCCTTTTTATTCATCAGAAATTGAATTTTTGTTTGAAAATGTCGGAAAATGAGTACCACGATGCGTAAGAAAACTCAGGTATCATTTGTTATACGAGAAGAGGAGGAGAGGCGTCACAAAAATGGCGTTAGTTCTTTGCAACTTGACCCGATTCAAGGCAGACTGTATTCCGCCGGCCGAGATGGTATTATTCGTGTGTGGAACACAGCAACGGGAGTCCAAGATAGATACATACAAAGCATGGAGCACCATACAGACTGGGTAAACGATATAGTGTTGTGTTGTGGCGGCAAAAACCTTATAAGTGCTTCGTCGGATACTACAGTAAAGGTATGGAATGCGCCGAAAGGCTTTTGTATGTCCACATTGCGTACTCACAAAGATTATGTACGAACGCTGGCATACGCGAAGGATAAAGAGCAAGTTGCGAGTGCTGGCTTAGATAGAGCCATATTTTTGTGGGATGTAAACACATTGACTGCTTTAACAGCTAGTAACAATACTGTCACAACTTCAAGCCTTGTAGGCAATAAGGAATCAATTTATAGCTTAGCAATGAATCCGCCTGGTACTATTCTTGTCAGTGGTTCCACTGAGAAAGTTCTCAGAGTTTGGGACCCACGTAATTGTTCAAGGCTGATGAAATTAAAAGGACACGCTGACAATGTGAAAGCTTTAGTAGTTAGTCAAGATGGCTCCCAGTGTGTGTCTGGAAGTTCAGATGGTACTATTAAACTGTGGTCATTGTCACAACAGAGATGTGTGTCAACAATCAGAGTCCACTCTGAAGCAGTTTGGGCTTTGTTAGCTACTGAAAACTTCACTCATATCATTTCTGGTGGACGCGATAGACTAGTCATAATTACAGAACTGCGCAACCCTGATAACTTCATGATTGTCTGTGAAGAAACTGCTCCTATACTGAAGTTATGCTTTACAGCAGACCAGCAAGGAGTGTGGGTATCCACATCAGAATCTGATATACGTTGCTGGAAATTACCACCAAGAAACTCATTAAGTTCAGATATGTACAGTCAAAGTAATTATAATACCAACAATGTTTACCAAACTCAACCCACACATCACATTCCTGGGGGTCCAGCAATTAAACATTACACAGTCTTGAACGATAAGCGTCACATATTGACTAAAGATACAAATAATGAAGTTGCACTATATGATGTCCTCAAAGCTTGTAAGGTTGAAGATTTAGGTGAGGTTGACTTCGATGAGGAGGTAAAGAAACGTTTTAAGATGGTTTATGTACCGAATTGGTTCAATGTTGATTTAAAGACTGGAATGTTAACAATACACTTGGGGCAGGATGAGACTGACTGCTTGAGTGCATGGGTCAGTGCTAAGGAAGCTGGACTGACAACTGAAAATGATCAAAAAGTGAATTTTGGGGCACTGTTATTGCAAGCTTTGTTAGAGCATTGGAACCATCCGAACAGAGTGAATGAAGCAGGCATGAAAGTCATAGGGAATAATTTCTTTAGTGTACCACTTCATACACCTTTGATTTTTAGCGAAGTTGGTGGCCGAACACTGTATAGATTGCAGGTAAATGAAAAATTATTTAACAACAGAATGAGTTCTGTTTACAAATTTTATGGGCACCTTTTGACAGTGTAGTTTAACTGACAAAGAAGGTGTCTATAATTCTAAAGAGGGAATAAAAAATAAAACAACAGTTTAAATGAACATTCATTTATGAGATTTTGAGGTACAAACACTAACTTATATTTGCAACAGAGTTGCATCAATATACTTAAACTAGCCTTCACCTGTGTTTTTGTTCTAGTTAAAGTTACTCTTTGTGAGTCCACTCCACCATCCCTTCAGCCATTTCCATGAAACAACAATAAACATTCATACAAAATTTTGCATTTATAATATTAGAAAGAGGTTGTTGCACGAAATCAAACTAAGTATGTATTGAATGTGACAACAAAGCCTGTTTTGCAACTGTTGTTCCTATTCTTTAGCTATTTTGTAGTTTAATGTGCTCATTATTTATATGGCTTATACCTAAAAGGGTACAGTAAATAAAGAATCAGTTCCAATTATGTTTCAAACTAGATAAAAACTATTTTGTAATAATTTTTACAAAAGGATTAATTTTTTAGTATACAGAAATCTGATTTGTTAAATCCAATTATTCAAATATCTATATTTTAGGTCGGAGATGCAGCCGGTGACAACGAGAGGAATCTTCTCATAGAAACTGTGCCATCTTGGGTAGTGGAGGTGGCCGTAGAGATGTCTGCACCAAACCTCAACAAATTGCCTTTCTACCTGTTGCCACACTCTAGTTGCCAGAGTAAACAAGATCGACAGAAAAAGGTAACCATAATTATTTTGTTGTCTTTAAAAAAAGTTTATATAATATTTATTAATGAACATGAGGCTTTACTTGAAAATATCTAGTTTAATGCTAGGTTTTAACCCTCTAGTTTATTTTTGATATATTTAGTACAAATAATGTTTACTAGAAAAAAGGTTGAATTAAATATCGTCCTATCTTTATGTAGAAATTGAATTCTGGATAGATTTTTTTACTTTAAATAATAATATATTTATTTCAAACTATTTCTTCGCTTATTCAACTTTCAAGGATGGTGTTTTTGATTATTAGCAAATAAAAACTAACAACGTTTTTCATCCATATTTAATTTCATAAAAATATGTCAACCTCAATAATGGATTATTACCACATATTATTACCATCGTAGGACCGTCTGGTAGCCAACGATTTCATCCAATGTCGTAAAGTCGCCGAACATGTGGTCGAAAAGATTGTTGGCAGCGGAGACGCGAATGGTGCGAGTGCTGGCAGCGGGAAAGGTAGTGCTACGGAAGATAGCGGAAACGATGCCCCTGAAGAGAGGGTGGAACTGTTGTGCTGTGATCAGGTATGTGGTTTTATTTAGGTTCTTATTGCGAGCGAGCATTGCACTGAACGAATTTTGCAAGTCTAGAAAAGACTGATATATTCAATTCTAGTGTAGCAACTGCAAGACGTCTTCTATGCAGTGAATTTTTTGAACGAGTGAAGTGATAGTATCTATACACTAACAATTTAGAACTAAATGATAAAATTAATTTGCTATTAATTAGACTTGCAACGAATAGTATATTCGGCAGTATACCGAATATTCGGCGAGGCCCCTGACCGAATAGCCAAATATTAGGCAAAAGTATTGGGCTGGATTTTAGCGCCAAAAACTTGTACAGACGTTTTTGTTTCGCGCTCCTTTGTTTTGTTCTAATGTACTCGTCGCTCGCGCGCTTGCTGTTGTTCTGATCTTTGCATAAATATTAGTAATATATCACGTCATGGCAACCCATATACATAGTGGCAAGCAAGGAAATTTGAATTTCCGTGTTTGATTAAGATTGCAGCAAAATATTTGTCGGCACCAGGAAGTAGTGTTTATTCAGAGCGCCGTTTCTCTGAAGCTGAGATGGTCTACGAGAAAAAAAAAAGTAAACTACTTCCTAAAGATACAGAAAAGTTAGTCTTTCTGCACCATAACCTTCCCCTTCTAAATTTTGATTATAAAAATAATTCAAATGCATAGAAAAATTCTTAACTTGTTTAATGCAGATAATTATTGAATTATGTACCTGTTTTATGTACCAATGACTACTTAATAAATGATTCTAAAAGAAATGAGAACCTTATCCTTCTAAATTTTGATTACCACAATAATTCAAATACATAGGATCCTCCATTTTTCCAATTCAGAAGATGTTATTATGTACCTGTTGTAAGGTAAAAAAAATTAAAAAAGACTGTAAACTAGTTAGTTATTTCAAAAAAGAACGAAAAATTCTGGAGGTGGTGGCCGGTTGATGGTAGCCGATTTTAGCTTCTCAGCTTCCATTTAAAGTGAGAGTTGTAACGGGCGCCGGGAAGCTGGTGACATCTCCGGGTGTCCGGAATAACTTACGGGAACATCAGCTTTTAATCTCAAAGGCAGTTTTGACTAGGGTTGAATGATAAAGGTGTTTTCCTCTTCAATTATTTATTGTGAAAGTGTACATACCAGATTGGATTCCAGGCGTCAAAGTACATTAAGTATTGGTTTTACTTAGACTATTATGACTGGTCCATGGTCAAGGATATCAAAATGATATTTATAAAGATTATAAAGAGTATAAAGATCACTTAAAGAGCTGAAACAAAAGAGACATTTGTGAGACCAGGCAACATGGCTAGATATACCTATGTATGACAATTTTAATCTTAATTCTTACCTGCAATCGCAGCTCTTTTAAAGTTTTACTAATGGGCCATTGGCACCAATATTAGTTTGCAAAAATGCGATGAGCGCATTTTTGGAAAAAGAAACCGAACTATAAATTATTATTATATTTCACATTTTTAAAAGTGACTGTTCGTGTCTGCAAAGAACCGAAAAGTAATGTTGCCAGGTCGCACTTCCAAAAAACGCCGCGAGTCTCAGTGTTGGCGCATTAAAATTTAAATTTGGGCATGGACTAACCATAAATTACAAAAGTTTTCTTAAATTTAGAATAACAATTATTACGTATTTATTTTAATGTTTTATGAAATTAAGACAATTTTTAAAGATGTGTTTCGTTTATTAAAAAAAAATAGGGAAAATCCTTAAGTGACGGATGTCAAACCATATATTATTTATCTATGTATGTGACGGCGTAAATACGACGTTACAATTCCCCCCCACTAGATTTTATAAAAATAACGAATGTTATTTTTATAACATCCAACTACACCTAACAGTAAAGAAAGAGGAAAGAAAAAAAAATGATTACTTTATAATAATCTAATAAAATTTCCATTGACTGGCATGCAACTGGTTAAATATGGTCGGCACACTCGCCCCATATAAAACAGCAAGTCAATTTAAATATGAAAACAAAAGTTATATTAAAACTAATTTATTGCAGAAAATATTCCAATATAAGGATTTCTTGTTATGCATTGAAACGCTTCTGGTTTAGAGTAGTCAGCACCATCGCCTTACACTAAACATTCGAATACAAACAATATTCCTAATAAAATAAACTTTATGAAAGTTTCAAATTCTTAACACATAAATGTGTGGAATAGGAAAGAGAAAAAAAACGTTCTACCGATTCAACCGATTTAGAGTAGTCGGCACCCTCGCCTTACACTAAATTATCGAGCAGAAACAAAAATTACCAAACACAATAATAATCGAGTTGGAAAAATAAGTATTGGGTTACCGAATACTACTGATTCAATGCAGTCGGCACCTTCGCCCTACATAGAATGATCAAGTAACTACAAAATTAAATGCAATCTAATACAAAATGAATGCATTTCAAAATACAAAAGGAATGCACTACAAAAGAATGAATGCATCACAAAATTAATGCACTATCGAATACCACTGATTCAATGTAGTCGGCTCCTTCGCCCTACATAGAATAATCGCATAGCTGCATAAAGAAAACAGAACGAGTTATCTATAAAACACCGTCTGGAAATTGGAAAAAAAAAAATCAGAACGAGTTATCTATAAAACACCGTCTGGGAAATTGGAAAAAAAAAAACAGAACGAGTTATTAATAAAACACCGTCTGGGAAATTGGAAAAAAAAAACAGAACGAGTTATTAATAAAAACATCGTCTGGGAAAATAGTATGTCAGTCATAAGACTAACATTACGAATTTTTTCCAGCAAAGCTGTAGGAAAAACACAGAACATTCTAATGATGTCTAGCAAACCTATAAAATAAATTGTACCAAATCAAGTATGAACTTGATGGAAAAGGGAAAAAGGGGACACCTAAAGGTGTAAAAGTACCTACAGATCGAGGAAAGTCGACTGGGAAAAAGTAAAACGGGAAAGTCCGTCTAAAAGTCGCGTCCGTGTAATAGTTCTTAAGACTACAGACTAAACACAAACACCTAAACAAACTTTACAAAATAGTAAATTAAATAGTAATCCCTAAACTTCAACTATTTATACAAACGAAATAAACATTATTACGTTATTAGTAGACTATTGTGGAAGAACAACAGAAGCTAATAAGGAATAAACGTGGAAACAAGGAACTCTAATCCATTAATCTAGTTAATGAATAAAGACCAGAAATAAAGTATTAAGGATCTCCAAAAGTTTATAAGTCTTTAATAATAAAACGTATAAGACTTGGAAATTTAAAAACAAAAGGTTATCTATATAAAATCCTCAAAAATATGAGATCTTATAAAAATAAGAAGATCCAAAATAAACTAAGATAAGATCCTATGATGCTAGAAGCAAAATTAAATTCTTCAAAAAGAGTTAAAACATCTAATTGCCAGATAGAATATTATTAAATTAATTTAATTACCAAAAATATGCCTAATGAAGTGATACCAATTTAATTTTTAAAACTGGGATTCTATTTCTTCGTTTCAGGAACACTCATACATCACCATTCAATATGCCAGCAACCTTTTATGCATCTTACATTCATCATCTCACAAGCTGGCCGTTTCCAAAACGCAAGTGAAAAGAACCAAAGCGAAATTTAGAAAGTGAAAACCGCAAATGTCAACTATCAAAATGAACAAAATGTCTAATTATCTAAGTTATATTTTCAAAATATCTTTAATGTGGTATCTACCAGTACTATTTTTATCAAAATCTTTTAATAAATAAACATTATTTGAAATTTTGTCAATTATTTTGCATTTAACGAATTTAGGTGCTAACTTTGAAGAAAAGAAATGAATTGCGTTGGATTGTACAAAGTTTCTCCTCCATACAATATCTCCAACGTCATAGGAAATGACTTTTCGATTCGAATTATAAAATTTAGCATTCTTTTTATAAGATTTTGCTAAATTATCAACAACTTTAATAAAAATATCTTTAAGTGAATCTAACAAATTACCATAACCGTCAGGTTTCTCAATATTAATATCAAACAAGTCATCTATAGAAGAATATCTATGCAAGGACCCATTCAACACGACTTCACGACCGAACATAAGAAAGTTTGGAGTAAAACTAGTAACCAAATTAACAGTACTATTAATAGCACTTTGAACATGGGGAATGAACTTAGACCATGTTCTATGATCATTTGCAACATAACATGAAATACAGGTTTCTATTGTCTTATTGAACCTCTCTACAGGATTATTCTGAGGAGTGTAAAGGGTATTATAAAATATTTTTGGAATATTATAACCTTTTATAAAATCTACAAATATATTTGAAGTGAATTGTGTACCGTTATCGCATATAATAATTTTTTGACAACCAAATTTTAAGATATTTCATGTTCTAAATTTTTAACTATAACTTGGGAAGTAGCATTTCTTAAAGAAAAAATCCAACAAAATTTTGTGAAAACATCTACTACTGACAAAATGAAATTATGTCCAGAATAAGACCGCGGCAATGGACCAATTAAATCCATTGACAGCATTGTCATAGGACGATCTACTAATTTAGGATTACTCATTATTCCTAAAGGAGGTGAGTTTGAATGCTTATAAGCTTTACAAGTTTCACATTTACTAATATAATCTCTAACATCTTTAAACATTTTAGGCCAAAAGTAATGAATTTTAAGTTTCTCAATAGTTTTGTGAATTCCGAAATGACCTGAGTTTATATTATCGTGATTATCACGAATAGTATTCAATACTTCTTCACGAGGTATAACAATTTTCCAAGCTAAATTTTGAGATAAATTATGTTTAGGTTTAACAAATTTATAAAGAACATTATTTTCATCTACTTTAAAAGTTTTAAATTTCGAAGGATATTTTTGACAATTCTGAAACATTTTCCTATACCATGGATCATGAATTTCATCCGGTACTTGAGTAATAGCAGCAATTTCAACTCTAGACAAAGCATCAGGCACAGTATGACAACTACCTTTTTTATGAATTATT